AGGAGGAGGAGGAGGGGGAGGAGGAGGAGGAGGAGGAAGACAGGCCGGGGCAAGCGGCAAATGCAGTACAACTGGCGCTTTGTCAACGTTGTGCCCACATTTGGCAAGAAAAAGGGCCCCAATGCCAACTCTTAAATGCTATGTAGCCCTGGCTTTCTCTAATAAAGCTACTTTGCTCAGTCCAAAACAAACAAACAAACAAACAAACAAACATATCACAGTAAAAGAAACAATGCCATTAGTTCCCCTCAAAATAGTCCCCCTGCTTTGAACATACTTAGCCCATAGTTCTTGCCATTTTCTCTTTTTGAAATAGGATCACAATCTCATTATATAGTGCAGGCTGGTCTTGAATTTGCTTATGTAGCCCAAGCTGGCCTTGAATTTATGGCAATCCTCCTGTCTCAGTCTCCCAAGTGCTGGGATTATAGGTGTGCCATCATGCCTCGCCTTCCATTGGATCTTGACAGAATGGAATGGTGGGTGGCACATCTTGTTGTATGTAGGTGCTCAGTAAGTGTTGCCAAGGGAATTATATAACCAGAGCCACAAACCTCCCCATAAAACTGTGGGGTCTACTGGTCCCCAGATATGCCACAAGCAAAATCTTTCTGTGGTGTAATATTGCCATGGGCCAAGTAAATGTCCTGAGGCTCAGGGTATTAGTCTTTGAGGAGATACTTGCTGAAACCTTACTCACTTTGTATGAGTAGAAAAGGAAGGATGAAATTCAGCTTCTGCTTAGCTTTCAGGATCTATGTTAGTTACTTTTGGTGGAAGAAAACTAAACTTCAAAGCAAAATCCAAATGAACTCTTCAGGTATGGATGCATGACTACATAAAATAGGTAGAGCCAGACATGGTGGTGCACACACCTATAATCCCAGCACTCAGGAAGCTGAGGCAGGAGAAGCATTATGAGTTTGTGGCCACCCTGGGCTATATGGTGAGTTCAAAGCTTGTCTGAATTATACAGTAAGACTCTGTCTCAAAACGAACAAATAAACGAAAAAAATCCAAGACCAAAACAAAAAAAATCAACCAACCAACCAAACAAAAAAACCCAAATAGAATAACCATGTTATAAGAAATTATCCTGGAGTTTGATAATCTATGATTTTTAATGCCCAAAATATCAAAATTCATAGAGATAAATCATGCTATAAGTTGGGAAAATTAAATTCCCTGAAATTTTTCATAATAAGAATAAAATTGGATAAGTTTCTGGAAAGACATAGAAGGTCAGGAAAAAGGGGCAGGGGATGGTAGGCAAAAGGGGCTTAAACTGATCAATGTATGAGTTATACTGTACCAATTACACAGAGCAAATATAAACACTATGTATCTCAAACATAAAGCAACAACAATTTAAACAGCCTGATTAAATAAAAAAGAGAGAGAGAGAGAGCAAACTGGGTAATGGAAAGCCTACAAATCATTAGAGATTTCTGAAAAAGATGCACAGGATGCCTGCTGAGAAGCACTTCTGCAGACATCTAAGGAGTTGCAGAAGAAGCAACCTTCCTTAGCAGGCATGCTGATGCAATAGATAATTATAGGAAAAGTTAACAAACATCATATTTAAAATCTTGAGGATAAAGGAATTATAATTTATGTACAAGAAATGATTCTAGTTGATTTAAAGGAGTTCTCTTTAGGGAACAAAGACAGGAAATTAGAAAACAATAAATACTATTAAAAGACTTCTCTTTGGCTTTTTTTTGGAGGTGGTACCAGGGATTGAACTCAGGACCTTGCACTTGCCAGGCAAGCACTTACTCCACTCAGCTATCTCCCTGGCCCCTATTCAAGACTTCTCAACATTTGACCAAAAACTTAAGCAATAAAGAGTTTATATGTGTAGGAGTAGCAGTAGGGAGGAGGGGATTGTAGGGATCAAACCCAGGGATGCTCTAATACTAATCACATTCCCAGCCCTTTTTATTTATTTTTTTTAATTTTTATTTGTGTGTGTGTGTGTGTGTGTGTGTGTGTGGCCAGCTCAGCCCACCAGGGGGTGGGGCTGGCTGGCATGTGGTGCTGGGGGATTGAACCGCGGTCCCTGTGCTTTGCTAAGCTTGTTCTAAGTAGGTGCTTTAGACCACTGAGCCATCTCACCAGTCCCCCTTTTTATTTTTTGAGACAAATCTCACTAGGTTGACCAGGTTGGTCTTAAATTTATGAGGCTCCTACCTCAGCCTACAGAATTGTTGGAATTATAGGTGTGTGCTACTGTGCATGGCTAATGAGGTTTTATGTAAGATTTTAATTTTTTTTCACTGCTTATGTTTGGTATGTATTTCAGGGCTACCAAACCTGGGTAACACAAAGAGCAAAAATTAGGACAGGTGTTTAAATGTGTGTTCTCACAAAATTAGACATATTTATCATTTCTCATGTGAATCTCAACCAGTGTAGAAGACTCAGAACTCCCACCAAAGAAGGCTGAAACTCAGGGTAGGCCTGAAACCTTTAGGCTTTGAAGATAAGCATTCTGCATTGTGCGTGACTTTCTCTAAGAAGTATATTTTATTTTGAGGCAGGGTCTTGCTATGTAGTTCAAGCCAGACTTGAACTCACTATGTGGCCCAGGCTGTCCTTGAACTCATGGCAATCCTCCTGCCTCAGCCTCCCAAGTTCTGAGATAACATGCAAGAAGCACATTCTTACACATACCTGTAATCCGAACACTTCAGGCGGCTGACGCAGCCTGGGCGACTGAGTAACTTAGACTCCAATTCAAAATAAAAAATAAAAAAGTATCTGATGATATAGCTCAGTGCAAAATCTTCATATTCAATCCCTAGAATCACAGACACACACACAAAAGTGGATTCTTTTGTCACTCACCACATTAGGGTGTTTCTAAGGAATGTTTATACCTCCCGAGTAATACAGTAGTATTGGTATGAGATAGCTCAGTGGACTAAGGGCCTGCTTTGGCAATCTCAGGGACTAGGGTTCTATCCCTGGTCCCACATGCTGCACCGGCCCCACCCCCAGGGCCTGCTGAGCCAGTGAGAGTCTGGGCATGGGGATGCACGCCTGTAATCCCAGTGCTGGGAAGGTTGAAAACAGGAGGATCACTAGGAATCTGAGCTGCATAGTGAGAGCCTGTACCAAATACATAAATAAAAAACCAAAACAAAACAATAGTATTAGTAGCAATTTAGGACTCAGCCAGATGCTCCTGCATGGACGCTAATGGTGACTTCTTGTTATCCTTTCCCTGCTTTCTTGGGCCACTTTTGCATTCCCTGCTGCCTCAGGCCAGCAGTCCAATAGGGGTTTTGCTTTTGTTTTTGTTGTTTCAAGACAGGGTCTTGCTATGCAGCTCAGGCTGGCCTTGAGCTCACTTTGTAGCCCAGGCTGGTCTCAAACTCCAAATAATTCTCCTGCCTCAGCCTCCAGAGTGCTGGAATTTTTTTTTTCCTGCAATGCCAAGGATCTAACTCGGGATGTTGTAC